CACTCATTCCAAAACCATCTGCTGCCTTTAGGAGTGATGCCAGGGAGACCAGACGAAAACTTCCCAAAGGACATCAACCTAAAGACGCTCGGACTGCACAGGGTGAGGTGGTGCATCTGTGGAATCCCCATATTGGGAAACTGAGGCAGGTGGCACTTGAGGCTGTGCCCAGCCTGGGCAATTGAGCAAGAGCCTCAGAGCTGAGAACAGATGGAAGAGCTGGAGCTGCAGTCACTTGGGAGCGCTCTGGATGGCTGGGTGCAGGAGTCAGAACTCCGGGCAAGCCCAGAGGCAGGGCTGGAGGCCATGCTTTCCACTGGTTTCCCACTGCTTCCCACTGCTTTTCCACTGTTCTCGGGTCTCTACGGAGCCCGGAGGGAGACAGACCAAGGCAGGTCCACACAAGGAATCCCAGAGCTCCCTGCAGGTGGCTTTGGCTCAGGAGCCCCCAGCAGCCTCACTCAACTTTTCCTAAGCACACAGAAGCCTGCAACCTCGCACCTAACCTGCCTTCTTGCCTTCATTTGACATCTCCCTTGCTTCGCACTCTGGAAGCTATGCCAGTCTCTCTTGTTTCTTTGGCCTTTTTCTCTCACAGGGTTTGACACAAGTTGTGTGCACATTGGATCCTGTCTTGATATAACTTCTAGGAGGATCTGGGCACACATGGAAATCAGAGGTGGAAGCAGGCATATCAGTGAAGGGGGGCAGATACTGTCGCCCACGGGAGAGGTTTCAGTAGCTCAGGCAGGGTGGGAACATTTGGGGTGGAGAGAAATCAGGGTTTGGCTTTTCTTCAAAGAGGGGAGGCAATGGCCAAAACAAAGCAAACAAGCACAAAAGGCGAGAGAGGAAGGAGGACTCAAAGTAGACGCTAAGAACTCAATAGCTCAGTGCAAAGGCCTTGAATTCAATCCTCCACACCACAAGAAGAAGGAGACCAAAAGACAGACAGCAAGAAATTTTACTGGACTCGCTAGCAGAATATAAGGAGAGGAAGTGATCCCTCCAATGACTCCATTGATCTGGGCCTAAGCATGGAGAGGTGGGGTCTGCTTTATGGGAGATGCTAATGCCTAGGAGAAGAGCCTGTGCCAGAAGAGAGACTAAAGGCCGAGGGTTAGACTTAGGAGGCTGGAGATGCTCTTAGACACCCAAAGGAAATGTCACAAGGACAGACAGTGGATTCCATGTGTCTGGAGTTCACCGAAGGGGTGCTGACTGCAGATGTGATGTTCAGAATGAGTTTACAAGTGGTGTTTCACGTCATAGGACTGCATGGGGTCACTGGGAGAAAGTCCATCCTAGAAAATGCTAGGCACCCAGTCCCCACTCGTTCTCCATTGGGCGGGAGAGGAGTATTCCCCTGGAGCCCAGGAAGGTCCGACAAACACAGCATTGTCCTAAGTGCCGGATGAAATTCACCTTTCCACAGGGCGTGGCCCCGGGAGAGGAATACTGTTCTTCCCGGAGTCTGTTTCCAGGGCTGTGGAGCAGCTGCCTCACGGGCCTTTCCTTCCCCTTGGCCCACACTTCTTTCCCCCTGCTCTCCCTCTAGTCCTGGAGGAGTCATGTTAGTGTCGGATGCGGCTCCTCCTAGAGGTGAATTCCCTTCTCAAAGATAAGCTTGGACACTGTTTCCTTTTGGCACTGGGAGTTGAGCCACTTCCACTGGCAATGCTCACTGATGTGTTAGGCTTGGATTCTCTCTGTGTGTTTGCTGACACCATTTCTTGTTTTTGCTTTACCTTCCCCTTTCTTCCTAACTAAGTTTCAGACTGAAGCTTTTGCTTTTGTCCTTCCAGTTGGGTCCCTCAACTTCATTCTCATTTTCTCTATGTTGTCTGGACATCTGTTTGCTCTGTGTCTCCTTTTGGTGTTTCCATTTGGCAGATTGTTTAGAGTTAAGCCCGTATTCATCGCTGCTCTTTAGTCCCGCTTGTAGATCAAGTCTATGTAGAAGCCTTTCCCTGTCCTTCAGGAACTCTGTTTAGCCTTTTTCTCTTAGGGTGACTTTTATTGGTAACGTGTCCTGTTTTTGTTTGAATGGAATGCACGCCCTCTACACAGCTATCAGGGGGACTGGTGAGAAACTGTGAACTGTCCGGACCCTTCCTGCCAGCCCCTCCT